ATATATATATATATATATATATACACACACACACACACACTTCTGTTGTGACTTGGCGCTATATAAATAAACTGAATTGATTAAGCACTGTGGATACTTTATCAGAGCCTAAAATGATTCAAAATGGTTTTGAATAATTTTATTGGTTAACACTTTAATTAAGGTTTCAAAAAAAGAAAATAAAGAACTATTACTACTATTTTTAAGAAGCGAGAGAGATTAATTAGCTGATATTAGCCACTTGTTTTAATACAGATTCAGAGATTCTTTATTGTCATTCGCATTACATGTGGTACATGTGGTGGAAAGAAATTATGTACACAGGGTCCCAGTTACATCCAACAATAAAATGTAAAAGACAAACAGTAATAAGGTCCAAGATATGCACTAAGAAAAACAGCAGCTAAAAATACAATAAGCACTAATAGCATAAACACAATATGCCGAACAGCAGCACGAACATGAGTCTGTGTGAGCAGATGAGCACGAATGAACACAGCAACATGATGATAATAAACATTAATCAGCCATACCTAATCAATTACCAATGAGGAAAATGTTGATGCAGCAGCTGCTAATAATACCAGCTCACTGTAGTCCATAATTTAGTTGCTTAAAACAAGAATGATCTTCTGTTTATGATTTTTAAGAGTACAATCTTTTCTGTGTTGTTAAATATACATTTATTTAGGTTTAGCAATTATTGTTATATTTGTTAAATGAAAAATACATATTGACCATTATTTCATTCAACCTTTATACAGGTTAGTCTCGTTGAGCCTCGAGGACTCGTTTACAAGAGAGACATGATTTAAACAAAAAACGACGACAACAGTGGACAAAAAAGGCAACAACAGACAATCATAAAAGAAAGCATATAAATTGAGAAAAATAAATGCAAGACGATGACGTCTAAAAAAAAAAAAATCGAAACAAAAACAGCTGGGTTGTAAACGATATAAAATACTAACATGTCAGCATTGGTTTTTGCCATGAACTTAACAGATGTTTGAAGCCATTTCGAGAAGGCTGAGAGCTTCAGATAGTTTTTCAAGATATTCCAGGAAACGGGAGCCAAGTTGGAGAAGGCCCTTTTGCCAAGTTCAGTCTGCACTGAGGGAACACTGCAGGTAATAATGTCCTGAGAGCGCACGCTGTAGCTGCACTCACACAATCAGTCAAAGAAAACCTCATGGGTTGACCTCCACTTTAGAGACTCGTTCTTTTCAGCAGGTTCTGAACTTCTCTGAGATAATTCTTGCAGCGTATTTCGTTAATAATTAGACAGCGTCGTTTTATGTTAATGCTCGAGATGAATCCTTTCTTGGCATTTTAGAATTTTGGCCTAAAACATTTGAGAAAAATGGATAAAAAATATTAGAAATAAAACAAATACGTGCATAAGCAGGCATTTGGCACTGTGCAACCAAATCACAAAAACATACGGTTTATGTATCGTATTAAACAAATTTCTTGTTCAGCACGTCTAACCCCCAAAATGTCCCCCGGGCGCTTTCAATAGCTGCCCACTGCACCACCTGGTGGTGGATGGGTTAAATGCAGAGACTAATTTCGCCATTGTATGGAAACATACAGTGCTGACATTGTGATGACATTATTATTATTATTATTATTAAAAGTATGACTGAGAGAAAGATATGCATTAAACATGAATTATTACTTTGTAAAACGACAACAAATGTTTAAATGCTCTTGTTCAGGCAAAATCATACAATTAAGAAGGATTATCTCAAATGACTTGTGAATAATTACGAATGCTTGCATTGCAGTGGCAGTTTTAAGCTGACAACTACACCTTCTGTTTACTCTGAAAGTTGTTTACCAACAAGTCCTGAAAAGGCTTTTATTAAAATGTCTCTCAAGTTAAAATTAATGTTTTCAAATTCTGCCACAGAAACCCGCTCGAGCGCTTCAGGAACGCGCACGAGACGATCAACAACTTCCTGTTCTCGATAGTTTTACGTTCTACTTAAAACAAAAAGTTTTCCAAGTTAAGAAAATATTTATGAGCCAAGCATTGTTCTTTGCACAAACTCAGCAGCGAGAATATTAAAGTGTAAAAGCTGCTCCGAGTTGAAGGTTAATTAAATGTATGTTTTCAGCGGCAGTTGGTGGAGGAGGTGAGGGGCAAGCTAGCGCCGCGTCTCATCCTTTCAACTTTAAACTCCTTTACACTAATAAAAAGACTAGTTAGCTTTTCTGCAGTGCGTGTTGACTCACTGAGCCACGACTCAAAAGTGTCCTGGCTGTCACCGCTCGCCATAGCCGTCCGTTTCTCGCTGGTCCCGAGAGGAGTTGTGCCCGGAGGAGAAGCGGAGGTGTAACGCTGAAGTTTGTTATGGTGACATGTGACACTCACGCCCAGCCAGTGACACTTCCGACTTTATAACCAAGTTACACACAACACCCCCTCCCCCATCCCTGCACTGAAGGAAACCGTGTTAACTCTGCATCATCTACTTTCTGTGATGCATGAAGCCCTAATAATCACAAAATACCTAAATATCTTTAGAGCAAAGCTGTCAAACTTATTTACATGCAGAGCCAAAATTTAAAACTAGGCCCAAGCCAAAGGGTAATTAGAAGTGTTTATCAAAAAACATACTGACATTTGTTTTTAGATGTAATGTGCCAAATTATTCATATAAAAATATAAATGACTTTTTTTCCAAGACATAAATACTTTTGAATAAAATAACTATACTTTCATCATCTGCTTAGTCAAATAAGCCACTCTGAGGACACGAGATTTTTAAACCGGTCTTTACTTGCAAGGGAGCTTTCACAGATCTACAAAAGTTACACGCTTTTTAGCCTCATCAGTGAGAATCTGCCTCGAACAGTGAGGCAGGAAAAGCTTTAATACACGTTTAATCAGGCAGAGGCGACGTTAAAACGACCTCGACTTTCCAGCTTACAGACTCAGAGAAGGCCTTAGAGTTTATCAGGTGAGCCACCGTGCACCTGCAGGCTCCTCTCTGAGCAGTAACGCACACACATTAATTTAACATTAGTGATAAACATCCATAACCTTTACCTAAATTCCCTTGACATTTAATACATTAAAACAATCTAAACTTATTGATGAAATAAAATTTAAAAAATACTTCAACAGCTTTAATTTCTTCAAGCTTTGCTGCTTATAAGCTGCTTTCCCTTTACATTTTTGTATTTTATTTAATCACAATCAAATTAGCTAAAACAGCCTCAATAAAAACCCCAACACGCAACATTTTAAATTATAATAGAAAACTAAATAAAACATTAATAGATAAGTGTATAGACATTTAAGCAGATGCTGTTGCTGTGAGATTATCAGAGCAAGTTTTCTCAAACCCATTTCAATTTGTCCTGTTGCTCTTTCCACATCAAAATAATTTCTGAAATATTCAAGCTTCATTTTCTCAGCTTCAAAGTTGGATAACTACCATAAAAGTCTTACCTAAGTTCAGTTTTTGAAGCGAAGCGAAGAACAAAGATTCAGCTCGCAGGGTCAGTTTTATGTTTTAAGTCCAACACCCACCATTTTTTCACATTATGAAAAATATGATTGACTTAACATTTAAATAGTTCTGTGGCAAACATTTTCAAGTAACACCAACTGGTTTTAAAAACATTTGTGACAATTTCAAGCTGTTTCAGTTGCAGCTTTGGAAACAGCCTGTGACATCACACCAGGCATCCATCATGCAAACCCGCCCAATTTATATAGCACAAGGAGGCAGCTGAAAAGACGTACAGTCTCTTGGAGAAAACACCCCCATCCACGTCCAACCCCCCACCTCCTTTCTGACGGAGCCCAAAAGTTATTTTTCAAGCAGGAAGAAGAAAAAGACAAAGTTGAAGGATGTTCTGCAGCAATACACAGCAAGAGCAGGAGTGAGTCATGAGAGTTGAGAGATTTGTGAGCATGCTTGGATTTTAGTTAGGGTGTAGTGTGTTTAGCTAGTTTTAGTGTTAAGTCAAAACAATCAGGCAATTTTTGAATGTGAAGCTGCAGCTTAATGGAGGTGCGTGATGGAGCCGCCGAGTCAGAATCTTCTCAGACAGAAGAGGCAGAGATGAACAAGAAAACCAGAATGTGAGACAGTGAGGACTTTGATGAGGAAGTGGGAGATCAATTATTTGTTTTCAAGAAGGAAAGAGAAGAGCAACCCAATGCCACACTCCTGCCTGTGCCCAGTCCCTGGAATCCGGTTTGTATTATAATATTTAAAAATAAATAAAACAAGTGTTAAATTGGGTCATTGTAACCATAGCAGAGCAACAGTCAACAAATTTGTAGACCATCATTAAGAAAACCAAAAGGTTTGAGACGGGCATAAAAAGCTAAGCACAATTTTACAGCTACAAAAGATTTGAGGGGGATAAAAAGCAGCTGGATGCTGCTAATCAAACTCTAAATAGAAATATCTTGGGAGTTTGGAACATTCAAGTGTTTAACAAATCACAAAGGAGACAAGAAATCAGCTCAACTCTTATTTAAAGCCAACTTCTGCTTCAAAACTGAGCTAACAGGACAAAAATAAAAGTCCCAATTTGAACCCAATAAGTGTTCAAATATATTAAGAAGGCTACAGTATATGCTAATTAATGCACACAAAGCCCAATAACCAGGAGTGATAAAATAAAAAAGTGGAGAAAATTACTCTACAAGTAAATGAGAATGAAGGAAGTCAGAGGACAAACCTAAACTAGAGTTACAGCTGCTAGAAGTCTTTCTGCAAGATATAAAACTCATGACTTTGCTTTTATTTATAGCTTTTAGTTAAATAAATAATGGCAAAGTGCATTAGGTAATGTGTTGATTGAAGTTTAGCCTATTCATAATGGTAATAACAATACTATAAAGTAATTTTACAAAAAACGTATTGTGCAAAAAGAAAATTTAAAAATTGAATAATCAAGTATGACTCCAAAAGGAGTAAATTTCCCACCAAAGCATGTCTGAAGTGTGTTATGAAAAAAAATGTACACATACCTAAGACATGTATGTAATTCTGTAGTTTTTATTACCTTTTACAAAGCTTTATTTTTTAACTGAAATTACCCAGTAAAAAAAAAACATTTGCATAAAAATACCCAGGTACTTCTCATTCATCACAGTTTGTGCTTCTTTAAAACTTGACTGAACAAAAAACAAACACGATTTTTGCTTTCAACTTATTTATATAACAAAAGTTTTGATATTACTGTATATATATTTTTCAAACTCATAGTTAATTTTAGATGAGACTATTAAAGCAGAATATCTATTTATGAAGTAATGCGTGTAAGTCCAACAGCTGCTGAGTTCTGGCTTCAGTCAGTGAGTTTATATAAACTGATCTGACGGACATCTTCAAAAAGTGTCAGAGCTGAAGAAGCTTCTGTAGTCGATGTCTGATTTCCGTAGGACCCAAAGAGACCATCATCTCAGCAACACTGGGGCCTTGCTGTGAGACAGACAGGAACAAAAGATCAGAGGTCGGTAAGTTTCACCACAAAACCAGACTGGCTGCGTCTACGAGACACAATCAGAAGCTACTTCCTCCTTCAGTAAACCTTCATGTTCAGGGTTACTGAGTCATAAAGCCACAGTCACCAGTTACTTATAAAACACAATATAGATGAGTTCAGTCATGAGGTGGATGGAAGTGTAAGGCAGGCACATGGAGCTAAATATATTTTCTAATTACTGAAGCCAAAACGCACAAAAACTGCTGATGGCAAAGCCTGAAAAATCCCCCACATGGAATAAATAGTTACAGAAATAAAAGACCAGAATTTGTCTAATATGTTGTCATCATCACCAAATAGTTGTGTAGTTTTGGATATCTGAAAATGTGATAATCTAAGAACGGTCTTGCAGGACTTTTTGAAGATATCACATGTGATGTGAAAATGACATGAACAGAATGTGAAATGGAAACTAAAACCAAAAGCAAATCTCTGAAAACTGTCAATAAACAGTAAAAAAAAAAAGGGAATAGGTTAAAATTTATACAACCCTGGTGCTGAAAACAATTTTTTTTATATAGATTTGTTTTGCATCTTACACAAAGTCCTAATTTTGTTGGAATTGGGGTTGTATTTTATGATTGTAGTGAAAGTTCTTTCATTGTGACAATGCTAATGACTGCGGTCTTGTGATTTACGGTATTTTCCGCCGTACACGTCGCACCGCCCTATAAGTCGCATCAGTCCAAATATGTCTAAAAAAGTGGAAAAATCAATTAAAATGTTGCTTTGCCGAAAACATCTATTATGTGTCACCGCTGCGTGTTACCAGTGACAACCCAGAAATGTGGGCCGGTGTTGTGCCAAAAATGGATGGGCTGCCAAATGGCGGCTGCGGGAGCACAGGAGGACTTTAACAAGAATTTAACAATATTAACACTTAAAAACAATTATTCGTTTCTCGAAATTATAGTAAAAGGTGTGTCTCAGTCTAACATTTGCTTAATAAATGCACTTTAATGGTCAAATTAGCTGCATTTCACCGGGGCGGTGCGGCTGGTTTGACGGTTCCAAGCAGCGAGCAGAACGAAGGTGGGGGTTATATGGCAAGCCGATTGTGTCATTTATAGCTGGTGAAGATTCTCAGTCATCTAGGACATGGTAAATTCAAAAAAAGTTCAAGACAAAAACAATAAAGTATAAAGTATAATTAAAAAAAAGTCCAGTTGTTTTTGTCTTGAACTTTTTTGAATTTGTCATTATAGCCATGTTTACCTATTACATGACACAACGGCATGCCTTACTACTACTACTACTCTGAAAGTGGTACTGCTCAATTTTTTTCAGTCAGAATGAATGAAAACGGTCATATCTCAGCCAAAAATTGGTTTATAAATATGTGAAAAAATCCATAAATACGTCTCTTCGGCCTATAAGTCGCAGGACATGCAAATTATGCAAAAAACTGCGACTTATAGGCCGAAAAATACAGTATATGGAAACGGTCTGAGTTTACATAAAACATGCCATCCAGTTCACAGCAGCTGTTCAGCATATAAGCTTCTGTTTTTATTATTCCAGGGATTGTCTTCAGTAACCAAAACTCAAAATCTTACAAGATTTTAGAAAATCTTTTATCGTAAGCTCCAACTTATGCAAACGTCTCAAACTTTTTAAAAATAGTTGTGCTCTTAATGCTTTTTAAATCAGTGTATTGATAATTGTTTACACAGTTTAAAGTGTAACGTGTAAACAAGTCTTTTTTAAAAGGTAAGACTTTGATTTTATTTGAATAAACTTACCCATAAATAAAACAATAAAGATTACTTTGACAAAAAGTCTACAGCTTTGTGAAATAAACACAAAATCAGCTAAGGTTAGCGTTTGTTGGCCTTCACTCTTCAGCAAACTAGAGTCAAATGACTAACACACACGAACATGGGGCGAATGATTCATGAGGCAAACAGAGCTGCTCACCAGGATGTTGGGTAAAATTAATTATTAGGTTCAATCCTTTAACTCTGCCAAACACAAAGAGCTCCAGTCTCACAACACGACACGGATCAGTACCTGTAGGCCACTAAGAGCCAGGCGTAGCAGCTTCATCACATCACTGTACTTCGTGGCTTTGGCCCGTTTAGCCAAATTCTTCAGGTCCTTATTGACTTGTTCCACTGAAAGTCTGTCACTTTGCTCTTCTGTTAACCTAAATACACAGATAATGATCATGATGAACCACTGCAGCTGCAAGGTGAACAAAACTGAGCTGATAGAGATTTAATTCTACAAACTTCAGCATTAATGAAGCAATTAGTTGCGCCTCTTCGGTGACTGCTGCCACCTGCTGGCTGGAGAAGGAAGGACGCATCCACAGATAGGAGTAAGTAGGACTCACAAGCTCCTTCAGGGAGGAAATGTGACCCTATTGAAGAGAGAAGACAGTGGTTTCACTATCACTGCAGACACAAGAGAGAAGTATTGAGACGTGGGAATAAAAGCAACATCAGTTTCCCAGGAGGCACAAACACACAAAAGGATGTAGCGTCGCATTTATCATACAAGGTCACCTTTCTGCAGGGCTGCATTGTCATAGGAAATAATATACTTTGTCCTTAAACTTATCTGAAGGCAAATCTAGAACATGTACGAGTATAAGATGTTAACAACTCATAATCCAGAACAAAATCTGAGTCCAGTTTTATAACCTCCACATCCAAGAACAATTTAAATGATCAATGAACTCTGATCTGCTTAAGGGCAAGAAAAACACAAATGCATTCAGTGCAGATAAATTAAAACTACCGATGACTCTGCTAAAAAAAATAATTTTAAAGATAGAGAGAGATTCCTTTGTTTGATGGATAAACAAAGATACTTTCTCTCTATCCCACAAGACAAAAATATAAATTCAAAGAAGTGTATAAAATATGTAGAGCTTATTTTAGTGCAAATGATGCAAGCATGCATATCAGTATAAAAACATCAGAGTCAGATACATAGAGAGAGATAGAGAGATGATAGAGCGATGGATAGATAGAGATAAGAGAGATGATAGAGAGATGGATAGATAGAGATAAGAGATAGAGAGATAGATAGAGAGAGATAGACAAATATATAGATAGAGATATATAGATAGAGAAAGATATATAGAGAGAGAAATAGAAAAAGAGATAGAGATAGGTAGAACGATAAGAGATATAGAGATAGAGCGCTATATGGATAGAGCGATAGAGAGAGGTATAGAGATAGATAGAACGATCGATAGATAGAGATAGAGCAGTAGATAAGAGCTAAATAGAGAGAAATAGAGCAATAGAGATAGACCGATAGATAGAGCGATAGAGATAGAGCGATATAGATAGATAGAAACAGATAGAGATAAAGAGAGAGATAGAGCGATAGATAGAGCGACAGACAAAGATAGATCGATAGATCGATAGAGACAGATAGAGATAAAGAAAGAGATAGAGCAATAGAGATAGATAAAAACAGATAGAGATAAAGAGAGAGATAGAGCGATAGATAGAGCGACAGACAAAGATAAATAGATCGATAGATCGATAGATAGATAGATAGATAGATAGATAGATAGATAGATAGATAGATAGATAGATAGATAGATAGATAGAGCGACAAAGATAGATAGATAGATGATAGATATATAGATAGATATATATATATATATATATAGATAGATAGATAGATAGATAGATAGATAGATAGATAGATAGATAGATAGATAGATAGATAGATAGATAGAGCGACAGACAAAGATAGATAGATAGATGATAGACAGACAGACAGGCAGACAGGCAGACAGACAGACAGACAGATGTTTAAGTAGGTGACCTTTCGGAGATGAAGCACCCGTTTGATATAATCCTCATGCAGAACATCTTGTTCTTGGATCTCTGCAGAGTAAACCTGTTGAATTTGTTCCTGCAGATCTTTTATCAGTGATCGACACCTCTGCTCATCTTCAATTTGCTGCTGTAGGTGGATTCTGACAAATTTACAAAAAGATCAGTTACAATCCAAAAACGACCTTCTAAAATAAAAACAAAGATCTAATCGACTTTCTAAAAGTGGCTTTCTAGATGTTATTTTTGTTTTATCCTCCCAACACTTATTCGTGGTAATAAAATATGGCGATGAAATATTTTTGTTGACAGAAGATCTACCTGGTCAAGTTTTCTGATGACGCGGCACTCTTGACCCTTCTTCAAGGTTCAGACTACGGTGCTGCCCTGCCTGCTTTTGTGGACAGGTGTGATTATCTTGATCTTAACGTCTCTAAACAAAGGAGCTTGTGGTGGATTTTAGAAAAAAGGGGAGAATGACCAAACTCAGCTCTAGTCATGGAAAAGATGAGGAAATTGTAGACTCCTAGATTCCAAACTAAAATTTGACGGGAACACTGACTGTAGTCAAGCGAGGTCAGCAGAATATCATTTTACTGAGAAAACTAAATTATTTTAATATCCATAAGGAAATTGTATGTAATTTTTAGCAGTCGTTTATTTAAAGTATTTTAACTTTTTCTTTTATTTGTTTGTTCGGTGTTCTGTTGGTACAGCAGCCTTCAGAGCATTGTTGCAGTACTTGTGGGAGGAGGAGGTGCTTTACAAAAGTAGGGAAATAACGTCCCACCAGAACCACATCCTGTCTTCTGAATTTATGCTGATTCGTTCAGACTGTTACTTTATAACACCACGCAGGAAGACAGACCGTCTCACGCCTTTAATCCTTTTGCCTTCAGGCACATATTCTGTTCCACCTCATGTACCACATGAAGCAAATGACAATAGTCACCATGAACCTTTCTGAACCTTGATGGCAGCTCTGAATTATTCCTGCAGCTTTACCATAAAGTTGATGAATAATGATGCTGATGGTTATTGTGCAATATAGTAGCCCCTCGCTACTTCGCGGCTCGTTTTTCGCGGACTCGCTCTATCGTGGTTTTTCAAATTAAGATTGGACATGACACACAATTGGCTGATTGATGGATGAGCTGCACGATTGGCACAGAATTTTTATTTAAAATAATTTAGCACCTGCTGCACCTTTGTGTAGCCCATACTGCAGGATAAACTTCCTCCTGCAGCTCCTCCTCCCTCCTCTGTCTATCTCTGTTCTGAAGCGGAGAAGTTGGCGTGGCCGAGAGCAGGCAGGGAGCTGAAATCATGACATGCTGTGCTCTTTTAGAGCATTTAGAAACATTTAGAATATTGCAAGAGTGTCAGGTTTAGCCTTTATGTATATTTTTTAATTTCATTTATATATATATACTAAAATAAACTACTACTTGTACTAGTATTCCTACTTCACGGCGGAGCCAAGTGGGGGAGTTGGAAATACTCTGTCCATCCATCCATCCATCCATCCATCCATCCATCCATCCAT